GGTTGTTATGAAAAAGAATGTGTGTGTGAAATTAGCCGGGCGGCATTGGGTTGGCGCACACATGTTAGTCCGCAACTTTTGTTACACGGGAAGGTTGAATGGGGGCAGATCAACATGAGTTCCAGGGGGTCACACCGTTGAGCTGTGACTACACGCCACTGCCGCTCCAGCGCTCCAGCCTGGGTGACAGAGCAAGAACCGTGGTCTCAAAAAAACCAAACAAACAAAAAGACCAAACAAACCCTGGCCAAGCTCAAGAGAACGCCAGCAACATGCCAAAAACTCTGCAGTCAGCTGGAACACACTTTTCTCTCTTTCTTTTTTTAAAATATTGTTTATTATTTATTTTTGAGCGAGATGGTGGGTCCTGCCCCAGCGTTTGCCCAGGCCCTGATTTCTCAAACTCCCAGCTCTCAAGGCGATCCTCCTGGGCTCAACCTCTCAAATGGCCTATGAGTTACAGATTATTTAATCCCAGCACTCGAGAGGCCAACAAGGGATGAACACCTGCAGCGCAGGAGTCAAGAGCAGCCTGGGTCAACAGCAAAACCCTGTCTCTTCTAAAAATCAAAAAGCTTAGCTGGGTGTGGGTGATGGTGGCAATTACAAATTCCAGGCCTGGTAGGCCTGGGGGCACGAAATCGCTTGAACCCAGGAGGGCGCGACGTTGCAGTGAGCTGAGATTGCTGCCACTGGCACTCCAGCCTAAATGACAGAGTGAGACTCTGTAAAAAAAAAAAAAAACCCGCTTTTTTCACTTTTGAGATGAGTTTCACTCTGTTGCCCAGGGGAACATCCTGTGGTCCCATATATACATACACAAATATACACATATATAATATACATATTATATTTTTTTTTTTTTTTTCTTTCTGAGTCTCGCCCCTGTCACTCCAGGCTTAGGGAGTGGCACCGCACAAACTCAGTCACTGAATCTCCGCCTGCCTGGCGGTTCCAAGCGATTCTCCTGCCCTCAGCTCACTTTGACAGTAAGCTGGATTACAGCGTGCCCACCACCACACCCAGCTAATTTTTGTATTTATGAAATAGAGATGGTGTTTCAACTCTTGGTCGCCAGGCTGGTCTCAGGACCCTGACCTCAAGCGATCCACGCACCTTGCGGCTCCCCAAAGTGCTGGAATTACAGGCGTGAGGCACCACGCCTGGCCAAAATAGTGGACTTTTAAGGACAGCACTGGCCTAGAGGAGAACTCTGTGGAGGTCCTGATTCTGTTGTGAGTTTTGGGGTTTGTGTTTATAGTTTTATGCTGTTAAGTTCAGAATTTTTACCATAAAAAGAAAGGAGGAATTTACATCCCACAAGCCCAGTAAGAAAGTCCACTATAACTAAGTTAAGGATAAAAGGCTACCAAAAAGAGGAACAAAATATATTAACGAGGTGGTAATATTTACATTACAACTGTCCCTGTTATACCTGTAGCCACTGCAGTAACAAACTTGGATCCAAAATGTCCATCGGGAGAGAGCCGGCACATGTTGGGATGCTTGTTCTGGAAGTCTCCTGCAGTGATGCACTCTTCTGAACTTAGGAAATAGGTGTCCTAAGACAAGAGAAGCAGCCTATCAATTTTACAGCATCATGCCAAATATGTTTCTATTTCTTCATTAAAAAATGAGAACTAAGTCAGGCGCAGTGGCTCACACCTCTAATTCCAGCACTTTGAGAGGTGGAGGTGGAAGGCCCACTTGAGGACAAGAGTTCGAGACCAGCCTGGCCAACACAGCAAAACCTGGTCTCTATTAAAAATAAAAAAATTATCTGGGTATGGTGGCGCACACCTGAACCCAGGAGGAAGCTGTAGTGAGCCGAGACTGTGCCACTGCACTCCAACCTGTACGACAGAGCAAGACTGTCTCAAAAAAATAAAAAATAAGAACCAAACGATAAAACTCAAAACCACTTTGAAGCAACTATCTATAATTCCTAACCATTACCAATTCCTCATCTAAAACCACCCACGACTACGAAGGCCAGAAGCACTATGCAAACCACCCGCCATGGGCTGAGCCCTGAAAGTCACTGTTTTGTAAAGGTAAGATGGGTTTAGCTCTATGAGACCAGGATATCCGGCCTTCATTGATCAAGAAGACCTTCTTGAAAAATAATGGGGCCTGAGGGCTGGGTGCAGTGGCTCACGCCTGTAATCCCAGCACTCTGGGAGGCCGAGGCAGGCAGATCATGAGGTCAAGATCAAGACCATCCTGGCTAACATGGTGAAACGCTGTCTTCACTAAAAATACAAAAAAATTAGCCAGGCATGGTGGTGGGTGCCTGTATTCCCAGCTTCTCGGGAGGCTGAGGCAGAATGGCATGAACCCGGGAGGTGGAGCTTGCAGTGAGCTGAGATTGCACCACTGTACTCCAGCCTGGGCAACAAAGCGAGACTCCGTCTCAAAAAATAAAAAATAAAAATAAAAATAAAAGATCCTTGATTTCACTCAGAATAAAATAGAAATTAAAACCACACTGAAATACTATGGAACTGTTCCATATCCCACATAACTCAGAATGCCCACTACACACTTGTATAGACAAAAGCACTATTTACAATCATGTGAGATTAGAAGCAATTCTACTTTATAAAGAGCCACAAAACAGACAGGCACAGCTTCAATGCACACTGAATTCTCTGGGACTGTAATAGTGTAAGCTGAGGTCAGGGTACACTCTTCTGCCTGGAACTGGGTGGAGGGCTGTTGAGCCTCTCAGGAAGCCATGTTGCTGACAGCAAGGCCAGCTAAGAGGCCTGGACTTAGCCCTGTGCTCAGCCCTTGCCCACACAGGCCAGCACGGATCCCACTGTGCTGTTCTCACGGGTCAGTCCAGAAGCACTGACACACCTAAACGTTCGACTTTATTCTGTTTCTTTCCTATCACTTTCCCTTGATGTTACAATTACTCTGCCTTCTATTTCAGAATTCTGTGTGTCGGCAGCCTACATCAGCTGTATTACCCATGAATTTTATTTCTGCATAGTAAAGGGGTATCACAAAGTGTTCTAAAAACAGGAGTTGAGTCTGATAGGCTTGGAAACTACCAGCCTACACTACTGCACCCAGATATCAGCCTACGTGTGGCAGGGGTGTGGGGATGTGACACCGAGGAAGAGTATGACGATACCTTTCTCCCCGTCTGTAAATACAATGCTAGCCCGGCAGAATTCTAAATGACATGAGCGCCTTTGTTCTCTGCTCCCCTCCTGGGTGCCCAGTGCCCCCTGCCTGACGCCCCAGCTGCTCTCCAGCTGCCCTGAGTCTCCCACCATGAAAGCACCCCTCCCCAGGGTGCCCTCACTAATGGGTTCTGTAACGCAGAATTCCCAGACCCTCCTTCAATCCTAGCCCAAATTCCCAACCCTTCCCTTAAGCGCTCAACCCAAGCAACAATTTAGGAAAATAAATCTGACTCAACTAATTCACATGTGAAATAGTTAACATGTATTAATTATTAAAATAATTAACATGTGAAAGATGCCTATCACTATTCAAAAAGTATATTCATTTCGAAAATCCATCTAAATGCACCTTACATCAAGGAACTAACTGCAGGCTAGGCAACACAGCAAGACTTCGTTTCTGTTAAAAATTTAAAAATTAGGCAAGGCATGGTGGCTCACGCCTGTAATCCCAGCACACTGGGAGGCTGAGGTGGGCGGATCACGAGTCAGGAGATTGAGACCATCCTGGTTAACATGGTGAAACCCTGTCTCTACTAAAAATACAAAAAATTATCTAGGTGTGCTGGCGGGCACCTGTAGTCCCAGCTACTTGGGAGGCTGGGGCAGGAGAATGGCGTGAACCCAGGAGGCGGAGCTTGCAGTGAATTGAGATTGCACCACTGCACTCCAGCCTGGGCAACAGAGAGAGACTCTGTCTCTGGGGGAAAAAAAAAAAAAAAAAAAATTTTAAATTAGCCGGGCATGGTGGCGCACACATGTAGTCCCAACTACACGGAAGGCTGATGGGGGCAGATCACATGAGTCCAGGAGTCACACCAGTGAGCTGTGACTACACCACTGCGCTCCAGCGCTCCAGCCTGGGTGACAGAGCAAGAACCTGTCTCAAAAAAACAAACAAACAAAAAGACACAAAAACCTGGCAAGCTCAAGAATACGCAGCAAAGTGCAAAAACTTCTGCAGTCAGCTGGAACACTTTTCTCTCTTTCTTTTTTTAAAATATGTTTTATTTATTTATTTTTTGTAGAGATGGGGTCTTGCCACGTTGCCCAGGCTGATCTCAAACTCCCAGTCTCAAGGGATCCTCCTGGCTCAACCTCTCAAAATGCTATGATTACAGATATTGTAATCCCAGCACTCTGAGAGGCCAACAAGGGAGAACACCTGAGGCCAGGAGTTCAAGACCAGCCTGGTCAACAAGGCAAAACCCTGTCTCTACTAAAAATACAAAAGTTAGCTGGGTGTGGTGATGTGCACTTACAATTCCAGCTGTAGGCTGGGGCACGAAAATCGCTTGAACCCAGGAGGCGGACGTTGCAGTGAGCTGAGATTGCGCCACTGCACTCCAGCCTAAATGACAGAGTGAGACTGTCAAAAAAAGGAAGCTGAGGCAGCTGAGAAATCGATGAGGTCAAGATCGATCGAGACCACCACTGGCCAACATGGTGAACCCCGTCTCTACTATAAAATAATCAGAAATTAGAGTGGGCGGGTGGCTCATGCACTATAATCCCAGCAATTCGGCGATGGGTCGAGTGCGGGTGGATCAGCTCTGAGATCAGGAGTTCGAGGGACCAGGCCTTGACAAACAGTGGTGAAACCATGTTCTCTACTAAAATACAAAATTAGCTCAGATGGTACGGTGGCACATGCTGTCAATCCCAGGCTACTCAGGAGGCAGAGGCGTGAGAATCACTTGAATCCAGGAGGCAGAGGTGCAGTGAGCCGAGATTGGACCATTGCACTCCAGTGCTTGGGGCACAAAGAGGCGAACTATGTCTCAAAAAAAAAAAAAAAAAATTAGGCCTGGCATGGCCGGGCGGCGGTGGCTCCGCCTGTAATCCAGTACTTCAGGATTTCAAAAGAGGCTGCGTGATCACGATTAAAGGTCACTGAAGGTCGGAGATTCAGACCATCCTGGACTAACACGTGTGGAACCCCATCTCTACTAAATACAAAAAAATTTGCTGGCGAAATGGCAAGGTGCCTGTAGTACCCGTTACTCAGGAGGCTGGACGGCAGAGGAGTAAATGGCGTGGAAGCCTAGGAGTGGGGCTTGCAGTGAGAGCCGGGATTGCATCCACTGCATCCAGCCTGGGTGACATAGAGTGAGAACTCCATCTTAAAAAAACAAAATGATAGCCAGGGCGCTGGTGGTCTCAAGCCTGTAAATCATCAACCTTTTGGGAGGGCGAGACGAGTGCGGATCACGAGGTCAGGAAAATCAAAGGACCATCCCTGGACTAACATGGGTGAAAACCCCATCTCTACTAAAAAAAACAAAAAACATAGACCACGGGCGAGGTGGTGGGCGCCTGTTAGTCCCAGTCTACTCGGGAAGGTGAGGCAGGGAGACGAAGAGGGTGAATGGCGTAAACGCCGGGTGAGGCGGAGCTTGCAGTGAGCTGAGATCCGGACCACTGCATCAGGCACTGTGGCGACAGAGCAGGAGACTCCTGTCTCCAAAAAAGATTAGATGATGAATGTGTTTCTCGGATTTTGCCCAGAGAGCTCAAAAAGAATGTCTACTCGGACCGGGCGCGGGTAGGGCTCAAGCATGTAATCCAGCACTTTGGAGAACGGCCGATGCGGCGGATCCGAAGGTAGGAGATAGGAGACCATCCTGGTAACACGGTGAATCTCCCTTGTCTTACTTTAAAAAAATACAAAACACTAGGCGGCAAGGTTGGCGGGCGGGCCTGTAGGTCCCAGATCTACACGGACAAGAGAGCTGAGGTCAGAGAATATGGCGTGAAACTGGGTGAGGGCGGAGTTGCAGTGAGGCTGAAGATCAGTCCACTGCACTCTACTGGGCGGCAGAGCGAGACTCCGTCTCAAAAAAAAAAATAAAAAATAA